GCACGTCCATCTTAAAGCTGCCTGGAATTGGCTTTGGAGGAAATTCTAGCAGCTGCTCACAGAAGCCACCCCTGTACCCCATGCCCACCCACGCTAACAAAACCTGGCCACATGAACCCAATAGAGCTGCCAAACAAGGGAACTATTTATTCCCTATAGAAGCAGTTTGCTGTGGTACAGTAGTCCCTTCTCATTGTCCTTCCAGTGTTTCTGAAGAGCTCCTCAAACAATTTGTCCAGGATCACACAATAAACTGGTAGCTAGTATTTTGTTTCTTGTGTCTGGTAATAGTCCTAAGATGTACAGAAATACAGAACAGTAGAGGATTCAGCTGTACTTTTGCTGGGCACACAGATGTCCTATGACTATATTTTGCCTTATGGTGTTCAAGGAATGAGCTACAAGTATCTTGATTTCATAAATTGCCTTTAGGTGGAGACACCATTGTAAAGTATACATTATGCAGCTTTATCTATAGAATGAGTTTATAATATGCCCTGGATTCTTTAAATTTTTTTTTTTTTTAAATTTTACATGGGAAAGGGGTCTCTGAGACAGCACCAATACATCTCTGAGCAAATCTAGTAAAATTAAAAAGTCCTATTTGATATTCTGATTATTTTTTTATCTGGCAATTGTACCTGCTGTAACTCTGGGTGGAATCTGTAGTTGCAGATATGATTGCTGGTAGCAGAAGGAAAAGCATAGCTTTTGTTCACAAACAGAACTTTGGCGTTGCTGTTGCAATAAGAAAACTTCTTAAAGTCTTTATAAATCTCCCTCTTGCCATTTTGCAAGTGATCACTAATGAGAGCCATGACTTCTGACAGTCCATCTTAGATGGTGCAATTCCACCGGCTATTGATTTCTAAGCATTCAATAAGTAATTTTTTGAGAACGAAATGTGTGAAGTTTCTTTTTTCACTCTTACATATAGAATACTTCTTCTGGTTTTGCAAGTTATAAATAGCAAAGCAATGTTTCTTTCACTGAATAACTGGATATATTTTGTTTTGGATATGTACCCAGTAATATTCACTGAATTAAACTGAACAGTTTCTGGATATGTTTGCATAATCAATCCTGCATAAGTTAAAACTGAAAAAAACCCCGTTATATATAACATGATTTAATTTTCCAGTAATGATGAAATTATATGACATTTTCTGGATAAAGAGTTCTTTATTTGGGCCAGGGCCTTTAGTGGAATGAAGAAAAAAGTATTTAAATTGAGTATTTAAAATACCTAAGTACTCTGTAAAGTTTTCTGCTATAAAATGTGATATAAATCTGTTGTTTTCTGCACATCTATTAATATAATTTCCAGAATGGAAGCATTTCTAAATGGAAGCCTCTGTTTACACAGAGAAATGTGGTATTATTTCAAGTAATGCAAATTCTCTATTTCAAAGTACTTCTTATTATTTTGTTCAGGATATGGTTTAACTACTGGTTTTACTAATTTCTTAAAAAGAAAGGTGTAGGTAGCTAAATCTGTGTGTGAAGTACCTTTTTCCCTGGCATTTTCTCTTTAAATCCTTGACAACATTACTTTAGCTTAGAGGTTTTCATTTCTCTATTCTTCAAATCAGTGTTTTTTTTTTCTTGTAGAAGAGGATGATTTTGGAGTCAGATGTTTTAGATCCTCTAGGTTTTTATTTCCGTTTACACTGTTTTAATATCTGTGATGGCTCAAAGACTAGATTTTTTTCTCTACACCTTTAATAATTTTTCTTTTAAGACTAGGATGCTGTTCTTAGCACTGAATATAGCCTGTATAAAATTGCTAGAGTTTTTCCTTTATTTATTTATTTTTTTTAATATTATGCCATATGCACTCTGGTTTGCAATTTCATAAAAAAACTTATAAGATTATTAGTTATTTGCAATGTTGATAATTTTTGTGAGCCTTTTAGTATTCTCATGCTGCAGTCACCCTTCAGTAGCATTGCTGTAATCTTGAGAAGGGTTGGATTTTCCTATTTCCATGCTATTAACTAAGTCATTTAAAGTGTTTTTGGCTGGACAACTCCCAAATGTTTAAAATTTCCACACTGAGTTCTGGCTTTGCACTTGCCAGCTGAGGAGTTTATTGAAAAAGTCCCCCTGGAGTCTGTCCAGCTCACTGATTACAGGACTTTGAGGTACACAAATGCTAAAAAGAGTTGTGAAAGGGAATTTTTAGTCAAATTTGTGTTGGAGTTGCTGCTGAATGCAATTACAAAGCCTCTCACTCCATTTGTGGTTTTATTTGCTAGCACCTAAGCAAGAGCAATATATGCAAAGAGAAAATGTGATTTTCATATTGCTAATTGGCCCTGAGTACCTATATATGCCTTTCACAAACTGGTAATTGGTAATAAATGGTAATTGCTTTAACTAATTCCTACTTTAACAAGTTGCTATCTGAATTTAAAGTATTGATAATGCAGACAGAGCATTTGTAATGAAACAGTTAGCTCCTGAATAGGATATATAGTAAGCTTTTTATCTGAGCTTCCTTAGAAAATAAATAAAATATTAACTTATTGTCTCCTACCAAACTTATTGCTTGCTATTTTTCTGATAATATTTAAAATATTTTTTTGTTGGTGGTGGATTGCTTTTGAGCAGTCATTTGTTGACTTGCTAAGTGACAGATACACTGAGCTAGTGGGTAGAAACTCTTGCTTATAAATGGCTAGCAGGAAAGAGAGGAAAATTTGTGGCAAACACTGCCTAGCAATTCAAGAACAAAATAGACTAGGCCAATTACAGTGCAATCTTACTTCACAGGACCAGCATAAATCAGGTTAGTTCTCTTTTTCTGACCTGGAAAAGACAGCATTTTGAATAGCCAAAAAGAACCAGGACTAGTATCCTATCTGCTTAAATTTAAGCTGACCTAGACCTACCTTCTGAACTAACAAACAGTATGAACCCATTAAAATCTGTTCATTCCTGTTACTTTCCTTTATCAGAACTGCTGTTGTCACTTCTGAATTCCCCAGAGGAGAGGGAGAAACATGTCTGTTTAAACCTATCAACCTCATTTATTAGGCATTAATTTATTTCTTGCAAATTACTTGACATTCTAATTCTCTGGCAATAAAACTAAAGAAATCTGTGTATGGCTACAAACATAAAATGGAAAATAAAAAGAAAAAAAAGAGCTGAAATATCTGCTCACTGCCCATTCCAATGAGCTTAGCTCTGTCAGTAGAGTTTTGTGAGGAAGCATCAGCTGATCCACCAAAGATGTGAAAATAAACTTGGATTTCTGATCAACGTGGTTGGGGTCCAGATTAGATAGGAACACATAAGCAAGTTATGTCACTCACAGAATGAATGTGTTTCTTTTATCCAGGAGGAAATATCTAGCATAAAGTACTTGGCAATTTAACAATATTACCTGCCACAGAATTAAGCAAATGTTTCTTTCTAAATCACCATTTTGTAATTGTTTCTGTTGAGGAATCACATTTAATAGCATTTTGCCAGTTCAGTTTCCTATAGACAGGCTCAGGCATATTAAAACCTTTGTAGCATAAAAATAACAATATCAATTAATTTAAAACAACTGATAATTTTTCGCTATCTAGCTTAATGTTACAAAAATGAATTTACTTATTTTAAATGAAATTTAAGTAAAGTGACGTTTTTTAATTTTAAATCATAACTCGTTCTGTTAAGTTAGTACATGTACATGGCAGAGAATAGGTAGTGGGGGGAGCAAGATGAAGGAGTAGCTGCGTTGGTTCTCTGTGAAATTACCTGCATGTCAGCTTCAATTCTGCAGGATTCCAGCTACTTAAAGGTGTGCTGTGAAACCAAATGATTCCTGTGACAGAAAGATGGACCAGCCTTTCTTCCTTAAATCTGCTAAGCTCTGTACAGTGTCTAGGAGAATATCTGGAACATTTTTGTACAAACAAAATTCAAAAGCAAATCACTAGCATGTCTCAAGAATTTGGGGGGGTTTTATTATTTTTATTTTATAACTGCATTTTATTCTGATTTTTAAGAATTATTATGTTTAGAACTTTTCAAAATTTTTTCCCAGCACCAGGAATGTAGACTGCATTTTCTTACTCATCTTTCAATATCATTTTTTTGAAAGTAATACCTACTGAATTCAAACCTCAAGTAAGGAAACTGTTGTATTATTACTGTAAATAAAAAACATTTTTATGTGCTCCTTAATATTTATATTTCAATAGAATATATAAAATGAGATTGGTTTGAATTAATTTATAATATGCTGGACTAAGATAGGTCTATTGCTCTTCTATTGATTATGTAAACTCTTTTGTATCTATCTATTGAAGAAAAAAAATTAGCTTAATCTGTGAAATCCTTAATTTTCAGCACTGCAAGTCATATATATAATCTTAAGGGTTTAATTTGAATCTGTCTCATTACATATTTGAAAGAAGAGGGTATCATCTGTTTTGAGAACTATTTAGAAATTCCAGCAGAGTTTCCTAGTTTCCTCAAGAACTAGTACTTCCTGACACTTTGATTTTCCACTGCAACACTGAACTGAGAAACTTCAAACTAGGAATAGATGGCTAGATAATAAAAAATAAACAAAGTTTTTCTCCTGTTTATTTTTCTTTTTTTTTCCCCTTTTAAATAAAGACAATATTATCTTTGCAGGCTAAATTCAGTTTTTATTAATAAGTATTATGGATAAAAAGTAGACATGTAATTTTTCATTGTGAAAACAATCAGAATTCATTACAAATAAAGTCAAATTAGAGTTTTATTTTTCTTTCCCAAGAAGTGCAAAATGAATATAAATTTGAGAAAGTGAATTAGAGTAGGTACACAGAATCGGTGGAAACATAGGATTGCTTTTTCCATTTCTCTCCCAATGCAGTAAGATTTTTCTATCTTGAACTTACAGTGATGAGAACAGGGAAAGGATGCATTGATTTACTTGTATCAGTTTGAAGAAGCTGTGATGGAGTCAACACTTGGTCCTGTCTTAACCAACCTGGAGTTTCTCTTGTTTACAGACTGTCAGGAGCTGGCCACCCCTTGCCACCCCACTGTGACATGGATTCATGTAGCTCTGAGGAGTTCTACCAGGCTGTTCACCACGCAGAGCAAACCTTCAGGAAAATGGAGAGCTACCTGAAGCAGCAGCAGCTCTGTGATGTTATCCTGATCGCTGGGGATCGCAAGATACCGGCACACAGGTAGGACATCGGCATAAAACATTGAAATTATAAGGCTGGGTATGTGTATTTTTTTAGAATGGTGTTTCCTGTTGCCCCTTATTCTCTCCTCTTTCTTTAAACACAAGTGTAAGTGGCTGAAAAAGGTGGGTTTGAAGGTTGGGGCTTTGAAGGTGTGGGTTTTTTGTACAGATTTCAAAAGTTCAAGTAGCACTCAGCTAGCAAACTGACGGTGAGTGTGACTAACAATTCTCTCCCTGCTGTGATGCTATTCTTATGCGAAGAGAATGGAAATTTCTGAAAAGGGATGCTGCATAGCTACACTGAACACAGCAACATTTCTAGTTTAAGATCCTGATCCTCTGATAAGTCTGTTGTGCAGTCTCTCAGATACATAGTAGAATACTGAACACTTTTTTTCCTATGAGCTGTGCCTTTCAATGAACTAAAAAAAAAAATCTGATTTACTTTTAATTATAATTATTGGAATAAAAATTATAATTACATTATATTTTCTAAAATTCTGTAAGATTGTCCAGTATTAAAGCAGCAGGTACTTACGAAACTATACTTGGTTTTGGATAGCAATTAGAGCTTAAAATAGTTATTATTCATTGAGATTTTGGCCTCAGAAATAGGATTTCATTTAATGCATGAAAATAAAAATATGATCCTAAAGTTTAGGTTAAAATACAGAGACTAATTCAGAATTTCCTGGTGAGCATCTGAACTTTGCATAAGGCTGCAAACCAAGGGTAATCTATTCCCTGCTTCTGCCCTGATTTCTCTGGAATTCAGAGCAGAATTATGGTTTCCCAGCAGGAAGTCAGAAAAACAGCCAGTGCATTTCTGAACTCATAAATTAACTTAGAGGAATACACTAAGCACATCCTGGCAACTCAGACTTTACAAAGTTCTTTTTGTCCTGAGTAAATATGGGCAGAGGGACTATTGCTGTTAAGCAAAGAAGCTGGATAGTCTATATTCCAACTCCTATAACAGTAAGTAAAAGAAAAAAAGATGCAATATACAAGAGTGCAGAGCCAAAGTTATTGTCCAAATGCTAAGAAGTAAAACCAGACAGAACCTTCATTAAAATATTTAAATAATGGGGTATTTTTAATTAGTTTATTTCAGTTCCCCTACTGTTTCTAATACAGCTGTTCATTTTTGGATGCACACCTTTTAGTAGTAAATTTAATTTCACATTTGTCATTTCAATTCTACAGTATATATAAATGCTCTGTGAGCTGAAAACTTGCCCTAAGAAGAAGATTAACCATGAAATAATACCATAATCTTATTTAGATTTTCTAACAAACCTTCGGACACCTTTACATTTAATTTTCTACTTCTTTGTGGTCTGCAGTAAAAAGTCCAAATCTCAAATAACTGGAAAAGTTTTAATAGTGTTTATTCTATGTTTGTTTAGACAGGTGTGTTCGGACAAGCACAATGAGCTGCTTATTTTACTGTAGTCATTACAATCCTAGAAATTACAGATTCAACTCCCCCTGCTCAAAGCAGGGTCAACTGCAAGGTTAGATCTTGAGATAATACACAGTTAATTTTTGAATATCATGTCTTGTGCATGTTCCTCTCTTGTTAGCCTGTTCCAGTTTTTATTATCCTCACTGCTTTTAGTGATGCAGGATGTGTCATCCAGGCAAATTTGCTTCATGATCTTGGTGAGGCAAAAAAATCTATAGGTGCCTACATCCTTCTTTTCAGGGATTGACATGGAAATTGACTTTTCCAGTCTTTAGTAACCTCCTCCAATTATCATGGTACATCACAGAGAGTGGCCCTTCAGTATCACTGTAGAGCTTCCTCCAGTATTACACCTTAAACTTGTCCTCAAAACACAACATAATAAATAAATAAAAAAAAAAAGCTGAGCCAAATAAAGCTTTCAAAATTTTGCATTTGCTTCCAAGGTATTTACAGAAACCCTTCTTTACTATCAAATCCCTCACTGTCTTCATCGGTACCTGAGTTTTGGGTGTCTCTAATTCCATATTTTTTTATGTTGACACAATGTTTCTGTATTTCTCCCACATCATTCATCTCTGCTTTCATTTTCCATTTCATTTTCTTGTGCATTTGGGAAGTAAATATTGTTCAGAACTATAGTTGCATGATCAGAGTAAATAAAAATTGTTAATCAAGCAATAATTACATGGATCAACATAAAACTAAGAATATGTGAATGAAATAAATTTACATGAATTGCACTGGTTTTAGATACTGTACTTGAAATGCTGTATTCTACAGCTGCTGAAGAAACAAGAAAAATCCTGGGAAGAAAAGAGCTAAAGTCACTGCAAATGATAGATAGACCTTAATATTTGTGCTGGAGAGTTCATTACAACGTCCATCTAGGACTGCATAAATGTTAGAGCATCTCTAAACTCAGACTGAAGTTTAAGACATTTTGATTAGTAATGCTGCACAAAACAAGATAGGAACTCTATGCTGAAGGGAAACAAAAAAAGAACAAATGTGATATAAGGCTAAAATTCACCTACCCCTATCCAATTAAAACACTCCCATATAAAAGAGATTGGATTAAATAAAACAGAAAATTCAATAAAACCAGAAAATGCAAAGAAGATGTAGAAGGGGAATTACATCCTCAGCTTACAGTTCTGACTTCCATTGCACTTGTTGAGAAACTGAGAAATCTGCTTTTGTTGTTGTTATAATATAGACAGGTATAATTGAGTGTGTAATGAGAAATCCAAGTTTTTATTTTCTGTTTTCTCTTAATATCAAAAAATATTAAGTTTTTTTTTTTTTCTTTCCAATACTCAAGGAAAGGATCATGGGGCAATCTTACCATGGCAGAAAAAGTAATACAGAACTATTGGAAAATTACCAATAATATATAAAATAAATAAATACTTTAGTAAGGTAACCCAAGTCTTTCTACTAGTATTTGAATGACATGTGAAGATAAATTTAATAAAACTCCTTCAACAAAATGCAGTTAGCATTGTCTGTTTCAGTGCTCTGGGCGGTAATATCTTTTTTAATGCATTTTGAGTGCAACTATAGAGTGGCAAAGTTAAAAAAAATAGTGTTGGCAAAATGAGGAATGATTAATGGAAAAGGTTTAGCTGAAAGGCAAGATGAAAGAATAAAGAGCCAGGCAGAAAAGAAAGTAGAACCAGGCAGAGAAGGAAGGAAAGTCTAGAAGCAGGGAGTTAAAGAAGAAAAATGCATAGAAAACACAGAGTAAAATTAGTACAACACTCCTATGTTATTCCCAGATATCTGTAGGGTGTGATGAACTTCCTATATCAAAAATTGCATCTCAAAATAGTTGTTTAACACAACCCACTGTACGTGAGTTTGAAAATAATTCATTCAAGTAATATGGTTGGGAAAGAAGAACAATAACAGCAAAAATTCCTGCTATCAGAGGAGCAACAAGGCAATTTAGATAAGCTTTTGATAATAACCTTGATTGATAATCTTGATATGGGGGTTTGGGTTGCTTGCAAGTTGAATGAGAGTCAGCAGTGCACTGGCAGCAAAGGGCCAACCATGCCCTGGGAAGCACCAGGCACATCATCACCATCCCATCAAGGGGTGATTGCCTCTCTCTGCTCTGTGCTGGTACAGCCTCACCTTGAGTATTGTGTGCAGATCTGGAAGCCACAATATAAGGACATCACATTGTTCGAGTGTGTCCAGAGAAGGGCATCCAAGGTGGTGAAAGGTTTTGAAGGAAAAATGGACAAGGACAGCAGCTGAGGTCACTGGGCTTTTTCAGAAAAGAAGGCCAAGAGATGACTTCATCATGTATACAGCTTCCTCAAGGGGAGCAGCAGAGGGGGAGGTGATGATCTCATCTGTCTGGTGACCAGTGACAGGACCCAAGGAAATGGAATGAAGTCAGGGGAAGTTCAGATTGGATATTAGAAAAAGGTTCTTCAGCAGAAGGGTGATAAGTTGCTCCAACAGGCTTCTCAGGGAAGTGGTAAGAGTTCAAGAAGCATCTGGTCATGCACTTAATCACATGGTTTATTTTTGTTTTAGGAGCCTTAAGGGTCCTTTTCCAGCTAGAGATATTTTATTACTGTATTAAAGCAGAATACTAATGCTATTACTTTATGGACTGAAAAAAGGTGCAGGACTGAAATGGACTTCTAAGGGTAAAGGAATCTACTCTTTTACTATGAAACCATTCTCCCTTGTCCTATCACTACATGACTGTATAAAGAGTCCCTCTCCACCTTTCTTAAAGGCTCCTTCATGTACTGGAAGGCAGCAATTAAGTCATCCCTAAGTCTTCTCTTTTTTAGGCTGAAAAAGGCAAATTCCCTCAGTCTTTCCCTATGGGAGAAGTGTTCCACCCCTCTAATCATTTTGTTGGCCCAGGACTGGCTCCAAGAAGTTGATGTTCTTCCTGTGCTATGAATTATACCACTATTCATTGAATGTGAGATTTTATTCCTTTCATACTCAGAACTTAAAATTGCAGCTTTTTAAAAGAAATAATGCTTATGAGCATATGAGTCTACATATATATATATATATATATATATGAATACTTTCAAAATGCCATCTGTCAAAAGGTAAATGAAAATTAAAATTTAGTGTGGAAAAATTCTAAATATTACCATTTTGCCCCTAGAATCTTTGTAAATGAAAGCTGTTCTTATTCAGTACTCCAGGTGGGGTCCCACCAAAGCAGACCCTGCTGGTCACCACTGTTTTGATGGAGCCCAGGACATGTTTGGGTTTCTGGGCTGTGAGTGCCCATGGCTGGGTCATGTCCAGCCTCTCATGCAGAAGCATCAAGACAGTCCCAGCAGGGCTGCTCTCTATCCATTCATCCCTCATCCTGGATTGATACTGGGGGTTGCCCTAACCCAAATGCAGCACCTTGCACTTGGTCTAGTTCAACCTCATGAGATTCTCATGGACCCAGTTCTCGAGAATATTCAGCTCCTATGTGTTCTAGCATAATGTACATGGAGAAAAAATAGTGCCTTGCTTATGATTTTTTAGTCCAAGTAACATCTGATATTCTACTCAGTTGGCAGTAATATATTGTAAGAGCTTTCTTGAAGATTTTAAGTGATCAAGGTTTGTTTGCTTCTTTTAATAAATAAATGCCCCATCAGCATTGAGGCAATTCTCTATCAAAAGTGTATATGAAAAAAGTTGTGAAGGTACAGAGAAATATTCTATAATAAACTAAAATAAAATCGGATATCCTGGGAAAAAAGGTCACAACCCTAAGCAGTCATATGGGTTACATATAAAAGAAACCAGAAATTGATCAGGCTGAAATTAGTTGTAAAGAGAAAGAAGTCCCTTAATCTCAAAAAAATCATTCTGGGTTCACAAACTCATTTTAAGCCATGACTTACCTGCTGTGAGTCTCAAGGATGAAAGAATTTATTATGTATTCTCACTGCCAGATCCAAAGTTGAAAAGGTGACATCCTCAGCCACCTGACCTTTCTTGATTAATAGGTCAGCATGCCTTTAAACCAAGATTTAGGACTGTTTGGAGTCTTCTGATCTACAAAAAGCAGCAGATCATTACAAATTAATTGATCTCTTTGATTTCTCACTTTTGATCTTCCATCTCAACCCTGGAATACAATAAAGATTTACAAAAGGTGTAAACCTTTCAGAATTAAGTGTTATTAGCAAGTTCCTCTCACTTCAGTTCAACTTGCAGAGCACTTCCCAAAGTGAAAGTCAGTGTCTTGAAACTTAGTCTTTTGGTTATAGTAAGTTGATGAAATAGCTGATTCAGTATTTCTGTTAACTATTGATTAACATAAGACACTTAAAAAAAACAATCCTGTTTTTTCATCACTATGTTCAAAAGCTTGTCTTGCTTCTGTAGGTGAGCTGCTACATCACAGGACCTTTCTGCTCATTTAAGCCATTTTCTTTGATAGATGGTATAAACCAGTAGGGATAAACCTCTAAGAAAAATAGGTAATGCTGAGTACCTGACATATGTCTTTTTTTTTTTTTTTTTTTTTTTTCCCCCCACTTTGGTTTGGGTCTTGTTGTGTTCCTGTAGACTGAATGCTCCTTCACAGCTGAAATCCATTAGATAGCATCTTTGACTTCCCTCACACAAACTCTGGAAAATCACATATTTTTACAGACATTTGTGAAAGAGATTTCATCCTTCTGTTTATTTTCTGCCCTCCCTCTGTTGGTTTTTGTTTGTTTCTTTTACTTTGGACCATATATATACAGTAAGATTATATAAAAAGTAACTGCTGAACATAAAAAATGTGTGTTTAAAATACAAGCTATTACTGTTTGAAAATATTTCCACTGGTCATTAACTGGTGTATTAAAATTTCTGTTAATTCTTTTGTCCTTTTTTCTTGTTTTGATGCAGCCAAGGATTTTGGCCTTGCTTTTGGCAAGTGATCAAATTGAATATCCATAGCTGAATTTAAATGATGACTAGTAAATCTGAAGCAATAGCTAATGCAAAATGAAGTTAAATGAAATCTCCATGAATTAAATGGTCTCAAATGAAAATCTCCTAAATTACATACCTAAATTTACATGCCTAAATTACATCTCTGCTATCTGTGAGAATTTTTATCTCATAGAAAATCATCATGTTTTTCTTTTCTGTGATTTTTGTGATGCTTTTATTAAAGTATCTATGAACAATAAAGTCACTTATTTATAAGTGGTCAGAAAAAGTGCTAGAAGAAGATTTACAAATATAATAATGATAATAATAATAATAATAAATAAATAAGATAGAAAAAACTAAACAAATGTAGAAGTAAATGTCCCTCAGTGATAAAAAAAATAGTAAATTACGAGTTTCTGGTGGCAGCACCAAAGTCTGTTTCTAAGTTCATCTTTTTGTAGTCATCCATTGACTTTTAGTCATTACATAAATATAAATGTGAACTGTTTATGAACTAGGATGTTTACTTCTAAAACTCATGATTTCTGGAGTTGAGCATAACATGAAAAGTGATAAAGTACTATAACTGTTTAGTCATTTCCCATCATTAGAGGCAAAGATCATATATATGTCTTCAATCTGCCCTACTTGCTTGTAAAATATAGCAGCTTAAAGCACTGCAAAATTATGAAGCCAATTCAAGCTGTCATATTTTACTTAGCTATTGGGATGAGCTAAGAGAGCAAAGGCAATCAATTACCATGGTGGCTGATAAGAATTAACTTGTTTATCTTTGCTATTTTTTTTAATAGTAATTTGCCCTGGACAAACTAGCTAACAATATACAAAAGGCTAATTATTTTTCTCTGCGTTTCCAAGTTCTCCAGTTGTGATTGTTGTATCTTTTAGTAATATATTTGTATATCATGTTTTCAAATTAATCCAGAAATGTGACCATCATGGCAGCACATGATTTATAGTTGTACCACATTTCTATCTCAAGATCATCTGTGAATAGTCAGTCCTAACAAGATCAAAATTTCACTGTAGATGGTATTTGGAGGAACACCTTAACTTAAAGCTCCAGTAATTACAGTCATACCTGATACTTGCTGTGGTATTGATTTCTCTATATCCAATCCCTAAACAGCAAATTCAAATTATTTTCCTTGGACATGTTTTCAAATTATTTTCCTTGGACATGTTTATTAACAAAAACATTGTATTACACAGCAATTTTATTATATATTTTTAGTGAGTATCATGTTAAGCTACTAACAGTTTAGTGGAAGGTTTACAGATTGTTTAAAGACATATGCTGTTATTAAAGTTTATAATAAATAAACCTTTAAAGAAAAGTACTTCTGGATTATGAAATGCCGGTCATTAGTTGATTATTTGATACTGAGAGATTTTCTTGTTAACAGCTGGGACATCTGCATGACTGGAAGATCATCAGAAAGACTGAGTGCTAATTTCTATGCCAGTTTTATAGTCATATGCTAAAGTACCACCTGGTTCATATCACAGGAGGCAAAACCAAATTAGAATTAAATGTCATTCTGTGTGTTGCTGCTAATGTGCATTAATAATATATTCCTCCTAAAATTTTTAGTTGTTATGAAAATAAATAATATATTCCTCCTAATAATTTTAATTGTTATGAAAATAATTTTATATACATTTATAAATATGTGACATTTCTAATAAATATATTGAAGCAAATTAAACCAGTTTCTTACTTTTATTTCAGACTTGTCCTCAGTTCTGTCTCTGACTACTTTGCTGCCATGTTTACAAGTGATGTTTGTGAAGCCAAGCAAGAAGAGATCAAAATGGAAGGCATAGACCCCAATGCGCTGTGGGACCTTGTTCAGTTTGCATATACAGGTATTGTGGTGCACACATTATATACTTCCTATAGAGGCAGATGTTGATACTTTCATTTGCTACATTCCACTTATTGTATTTTTTGTTTAAATATTTTTATTTTTGATCTTAATCATCCAAAATGTTTAGTTACCATTTCTAGGGATGAATTCAAATTGTCATCTCTTATCTCCAAACTGTTCAATATTTCAGACTTGTTAAGACAGTCAAGAAAATGATATATTTTTCTTGGTTTTCAAATACTTAAAAAAGTGCCTCATACCCACATGACTCAAATTACATAAGATCACTGAAGGAACAGTTGTATTTTTTGAAGAATAATCCTATGTTGCTGTCTTAATCAAATTTCAGTTTAAATAATTGCATAAATCTTTAAAAATTTGAAAGAGAAAAAATTGAAGTTTAAATAAGAAAATGTTTTAAAATGTTTTATTATGAGCTTGATGTTTTCACTTTCATTTCCTTTCATATGCTGGTACTCTGTTTTGAAGTGTAAACTTATGAATAACTCACAATTCAGAGTTAATAACTCAAAGCTCTCTTCTGGATTGTTTTTTTACATTTTAATGCATTATAAATTTGGGATTTATCCTTCTTAAGCAACTTGTTATGAACATTGCAACTGAAATGCATTAATCTGGAAGATAGAATGCTAATGTTACAAAATAAAGAAATTAAAAGAGTGGAACTGCCATCAAATTTGCCTCACATAAGTATAAAATATATACTGTTTTCTATTTGTTTCCTAAAAGACATCCTTATATTGTTTAAATTAACCATATTTTATCATGATGATTCTATAATATATTTTATTTAGATTAAATTTTAAATGGATACCTCAAACCCTGCAGTTTTAATCTGCACTAAATACACATATAATAATTTAATCACAAGTTGCTGTTTACTTTGATGTATTTAATCAGGATATGTTCTGAGTTTTTTATTGCATAATAGCTTTACCATCTTAATAGAAAACAGAAAGAGCAAATAAGCATAATTTAAGCTAAAAATACTCTTTTTGAGAGTAATGTTTGAGAAATAAATGTTCTAGGAATGTAAGACTGTGATTTAGGTAGTACTTTACATGTTAAAAGTGCAATGCCTACTTCCTTCAGCTGTGGCTTTGCCACTCAGGAATGTGCATCATCTGGAGGGTTTAAAGCTAGGGATCCATGAAATGAAACAGTTCACATAAGGATGCAATCTGATTCCTTGGTGAATGAATAGCACAGGAATACTGGGGCAAAATCAAGAATACCTTGGCATAGAACAGCAAAAAGACTATGGGTAATGTTAAATCATTTTGTAGGAGGAAGGTTAAAGATAGAGGAGGTAAGGTAAGAGACAGTGTTGTTCCCCTGGAAAGAAAACTGCGGAAATCCTAAAGTACTGTATTGTTCCTTTGTCTCAGTTTTCACTAAAATATCACCTGTAAAGATACATATAGATGTTATTGACAGCAAGAGATAGCATGTAAGTGTAGAATAAGGAAAGAAGGAGACTCAGAAGAAAGGGGGGGAAAAGATAAACATTTTCAAGATGAATGATGCTATCTAAGAACTTTATGGTTATCTCTGAAAACTTTGGATACTGGATGAGGCAATGAAAAAGTAGAAGAAGCAAACCTCTGCTTACCAAAAACGTTTAAAATGTTCGGCTCCTTTATGCTCCTTTTTTCTATATGCCATGTGATGTACTCTCTTCATTATATGAGATGTAAAAATTGAAAATTTCTTTTTGGTGTAAGGTAAATAAGGGCCAGACTTCACAAATGGATGAAAAGAGATCTCTACAGCTAGTATAATTTGTGTGTTTTCTAGTTTGCCTCATATAAATTTGCATCTGTAATATTTATTCATTTAAACAGTATCACAGTCCAAACTGCCTCAGAAATGGCAACATTATGTACTGTTGTAACATCACCTTGAAGAATTAGGAATTAGAAATTTAAGATGATAACCAAGATCCCCTTTCAATTGCACTCGTAATACACCATTATTCTTTTTTTCTAACTCATTTTGGAGACCAAATAAGACTTTAAAACATCTTAAGTTTGCACTTGCAAGTTTCTCAAATACTTAATGACAACAGAAGAGTGATGAGGGTCGAGAAACATGAGACAATTTTACATGCTAAAAGATTAAATATATTGGATGCCATAGATCATTCTGGCTTTGATTACTCTGTCTTGCATTTCTCTACCATCAGATTCTTTATCCTGATTTATTCTTATTTATCCTTATTTATTCTTAGCTTTTGTCCTTATCTCCTGGAGTTCATGTGGGATTATTTCTTTCTCTATTCCTTTTCTCTGCATCAGATATCTTAACAGACACCTAAATTTCCTAGCTACAATTATGCTAATAAATTAAACAATGCTGGGGAAGGTTTGCAGGCACTGGAACACAGTTGTCTCTATTGATCCTGGAAGTTTTAGCCAAATCCAAATAGCAGTCTCTCTAACAAATGGTGGGTATACCTTGGATACACAGCTCATCATTAATGTGGCCAACCTTGCACAGAGGGTAAGGGCATTCAAAGGTGCTATGTGGAATTCAGTGATAACTCATGTGATTCATTTTTACCTAGAAAAAAATAGTCCCAAACGTATTCAGTTTATTGAAATTCAATCTGGGCTTTTCAGTTAATCACTCTGTTTTCCCTTGACCTTGCCAGAGCAAAACATTTTTTTTTCCCATTTTTTTCCATCATTTCATATGATTTATCTATATTTATACTTTCTTATCTCCTTTCTTGCATTCTGATTCCTTATTTACCACCAGTCTAGCTTATGTCCCCTTTCCTTCTGAGTCACTTCACTTTCCTTGTGCTGCATGGATGTGGACAAGTAGAAATTTAAGAAAATAGCCACTGTTTGGATAGCCAGAAGCACAGAAGCCAACAGAAATTCCCTTTCAGACTATCGTTCTCTAATCTGGAGTATACATCTGTCTAGACTTAGAATATCTGGACAATCTGGCTGCCAAATTCCAATTACTGATTGCACAATGTGTGAAAAAGTTTTCAGCAACTCATGTCTGTGACCAGTTTTACCTGATCTGTGACCTCTTTATTGTTTTACCTTAGGAACAGAAAACAATTTTGACAAATGGGCAGTTATTTACTCCTATTTTCTTTTTTCTGTCACTACCTTCTTAACTTAAGGAGCTTGAAAAAAAAAAAAATCACCTATAGTTGGTGCTGTTATGGAAAAGGTTTTCCCTGGGGACAGCTGAACAAATCAGAAAAAATACAGCTGAGTATGGACTTGTTTGCAATAATGTAGAAGTTAAGAGTATTACAGTGCAAATATGTTTAGATGTGATTATAAAGATAGAACCATTTCCACATCTTATTACCTGTAATTCACTCTGGTTTATATTTTTTTTATAATTTGGTGAAATTATTTCATTTTTACTGTGAATTGTACATACTAAGTAGGAGTTTAAGAACGATAAAATATATGTGTCTATGAAAAGCATTATTATAGATGAAGATATTGTAAAATGATACCAGACACTTCCATCAATATAATCTAATCTGATTACAAATTAAAGTTCAGAATTAAAGTTCATCAAAAGGGAGATTTTTTACTCCAGACACATAAGGGAAAATAGTCTTGGGGTGCATCTGGCCCAGCATCACCAGTTGAGCATGAGAGGGGATTGTCCTGCTCTGCTCTGCACTGGGGTGGCCTCACCCTGAGTCCTGTGTGTGGTTTTGGGCACCACACTATTAAGACACTAAATTATCAGTGTCCAAAGGAGGGCCATGAGATGTGAAGGGGCTTGAGGAGCAGCTGAGTTCACTTGATCTGTTCAGCCTCGAGAAGACTGAGGGGAGACCTCATTGCAGTTTACAACTTCCTCATGAGGAGAAGAGGAGCGGGAGGCACTGATCTCTTCTCGGTGGTGACCAGTACAGAACCCAAGGGTTCTGAGCCTACAGCTCTCTCATGGGACATTCAGGCTGAATATTAGAAAAAATTTCTTCACTCAGAGGAGACTGGGCACTGGAAGAGGCTCCCCAGGGAAGTGGTCACAGCATCAAGACTGACAGAGTTCAAGAAGCATTTGGACAGTGCACTCAGGCACATGGTGTGACTCTTGGGGTGGTCTTGTGCAGGGCTTGGAGCTGAACTCAGTGATTGCTGAGGGTCCTTTCCAACTCATTTTATTCTGTGATTCTGTGGTTCTGTACACAAATAGATTTCTAAATAATTGGTAAGGTAGAATTACATGGTAACCCAGCAGAGCATCAAGTCTTTTACAGCCTTGTTTAGAGCAGTTCCTGAGTGAAGGCACCTGCCAGTCTAAGAGTAGTAACAGGAAGACAGAAAACTAGACAACCAAAAGTACTGATTTAAAGATAATAATGGGTGTTGAAGTTTCTGTGAAGATTCAATGTGAATAATTATGTAATTTTAAAGTTATGTGATCAATGTACCTATAAAACAGGATTTGATTAAAGCTGAAAAAATTGGCATGTCTTAAAATATGTAATATAAACTCTGTGTTAGGTCAGTCTTGGGGTTGTTTTGGAATTTTTTAATATATATATTTAACTTACAATTTTTGTAAACACATTAATAATGTATTGACTACATATTGTTTTATCTGAAATATGCACAAAGTTTTCTAATGACATAGCTACATTATAATGTAATTACAACTTGTATAATTCAAATTATGTAGATGATGCAAATTTATTAGAAAAATATTCCATCAAAATTATATGCTTCTTGTTCTATACATAGGCTCACAAAGATAAATCAAAACACTGCTTTACCACTGCTTTTTGTAAAGGATATATTTGACCAGTAAAAAATATGCAACTTCATTAATCTCTCCACATTCTGCTTCATTTTTTTGTTTAATCAGGTAGACAAAGTATTTTTGTCTGTGATAGAGCAGAACTGTAACTTAATAGGAAACAAAACATCCTCATTTGCATATCTGCTCCTTGTGAGCCACCTGAGGAATCAGAAGCCAACAACTTAG